TCATCTGGGGCTGCAGCAGTCCCCTCTCCTGACCGCTACCAAGCAGAGAGGGAAGTTTCTCATTTGATTTAGGTCCTAAGGAGATAAATCAGGTCCCTGGGAGACAGCATAGTCACACATGTGGAACCAGTCATCAAGAATTAAGAACAGAAGTATCTGGCGAGACTTGCAGATACTGCAAGGAGCTTAAGAAGAAGAGTGATGAGCTTTCATACATTTGCCTTTCTCACATTATAAAAAGGAAGAATCTCTGAAGGCTTCTGAGTAATGGTCAAACAGCTCTGCCATAAACTGCCGTCTGACCAGAATAAATCCTTTAACCTCTCTATTTCAGTTTCCTCATCTGTAATAGGGTGATTGTGTTAATAATTAAAATGTTTTAGGACACTTAATCCAACCTATTCCACTTTGCCAGGACTGAGAACTTGCCAAGGTTTACTCAGAGACAGCAAAGGTTTATAGGAAACAAAGTTTACAAGAGACAGTGTTTTTAGCTAAAGCTTAACACTTAAATTTTATTTTATTTATTTTTTTTCCATTTATTTTTATTAGTTGGAGGCTAATTACTTTACATCATTGCAGTGGGTTTTGTCATACATTGAAATGAATTAGCCATGGATTTACATGTATTCCCCATCCTGGTCCCCCCTCCCACCTCCCTCTCCACCCAATCCCTCTGGGTCTTCCCAGTGCACCAGGCCCGAGCACTTGTCTCATGCACCCAACCTGGGCTGGTGATCTGTTTCACCCTAGATAATATACGTGTTTCGATGCTGTTCTCTTGAAACATCCCACCCTCGCCTTCTCCCAGAGTCCACAAGTCTGTTCTATACATTGGAATCTCTTTTTCTGTTTTGCATATAGGGTTATCATTATCATCTTTCTAAATTCCGTATATATGTGTTAGTATACTGTAATGGTCTTTATCTTTCTGGCTTACTTCACTCTGTATAATAGGCTCCAGTTTCATCCATCTCATTAGAACTGATTCAAATGAATTCTTTTTAATGGCTGAGTAATATTCCATGGTGTATATGTACCACAGCTTCCTCATCCATTCGTCTGCCGATGGGCATCTAGGTTGCTTCCATGTCCTGGCTATTATAAACAGTGCTGCGATGAACATTGGGGTGCACGTGTCTCTTTCAGATCTGGTTTCCTCGGTGTGTATGCCCAGAAGTGGGATTGCTGGGTCATATGGCAGTTCTATTTCCAGCTTTTTAAGAAATCTCCACACTGTTTTCCATAGTGGCTGTACTAATTTGCATTCCCACCAACAGTGTAAGAGGGTTCCCTTTTCTCCACACCCTCTCCAGCATTTATTGCTTGTAGACTTTTGGATAGCAGCCATCCTGACTGGTGTGTAATGGTACCTCATTGTGGTTTTGATTTGCATTTCTCTGATAATGAGTGATGTTGAGCATCTTTTCATGTGTTTAAACAAACACTTAAATTTTATTTCTTTTTAGCCCAAACATGGAAGAGCATTCCTCCAAAACACCTACGTGGCTCCTCCCTCCTCAGACTGCCGCCAAGCCACTGCTCCCACCTCAGTCCCCTAGTGCTGTGACGGCTGCCACACACTCCACCCAGGTCACTGGCAGTCCTTCTCCACGAAGCTTCTGTGTCACCCACAGGCGCAAGGCTCGAGCCAGGCTGCCAGGCAGAGTGGGGAGGGAGGACCTGGGCCCTCCCAGTGGGAGCACTAAGGCAGCAGGGCCCACCGTTCCTCTGGCCTCACCCCTTGTAGTTCCAGAAGCAAGACTAGTCCTTGAAAATAATGAAAGATTGGACACTAGTTAGGTATATACACAACCAGAATAATTCTGCTGAGAGGGAGACTGTAGCGGGATACAGGAAGAGCAACAAGCAGTCTGAGCCTTCCTTAAGGAACCCAAAACAGAAAGAGGTAGTTTATTTATCTTCAAAGAGGTGTGTATTATCAACTGTGTTCAGTAACTGGTGACTCTATCATGGTAATTTAATGAGACGATTTGCCTAGAGTTAAAAACAACACTACGACCACCATTTCTGACGGTTAGCCTCCAGTTTCCTTTGGTTAGCTGTACAATGCCTTAAAATCTATATGTACAAGTATCTTTTAGGAATTGTATTTTTCAAATAAGTAAACATCAGATGATGCCCACTGACTTTACTCTTCTAGTAACTGTGTGTTTACTTTTGTTTCCTACACACAAAACGTTTTCCTTCTATTGCCCTTAAAGATAATTTCTTTTGTATCTCCTTTAAGGTTTTTATTTCTTAAACTACCTAATCAAACAATTTACCACTAATTCCCAGAAGAAAACACTGAATGAATCCCTTCCATCTCAATATATTCCATTTTTAGGAGATCATCAAGAAAGAAATCAGGTCATTTGAAGGTAAATCTTCTCTTTTCACTGATATTCAGGATGTGAATTATGACTTACTGCTTCCTAGATAACAATTCCCTTTCCTTCTGAGAAATCTATTCAGTAATCCCTTCTGGGAGCTTCTGGGTCCCAAGCCCCTAATGACTGAAATATTGAAATTACACTGGGAATTCCATGTGGGAGCCAGATTATAGCAAGAAATTGGAATGGAATCCCTTAGACAGAGCCTATTTATAAACTATAATCATTTAGCCTCAGATTCAACAAAAGGGAGATATGGAAAGGTTATCTATGGGCACCTGCCTGACAGAGTATCTGCACGGTTGTCCTCAAAGTTCTTTTGCATCACTCTTTAAAATACTCATGTTATGATCTGTAAAGTCCTCTGACATTTAAAAAAAAAAATGACTAAATATACTCATGTAGTTTCCCCATGATAACCAGCTTCTAATTTAAAACCCTGCCTTAGTTTTCTCAATCAATATGTGTTAAGCAATAGTCCTAAGGTAAACCTACTTGGAAAACCAAAATTTAAATATTAAGGAAATAATTTTATTGTACCAATTCTGAATCATTCTAAGCATGACAATAGTTTTCTTTCTTGATTTATTTTTACATCATTTTATTGTCTCCAACAGTGTCATTATTTAAAAAACCAAATTAAACATAACTATGGGACAGCCACTTCCTGTTTCTGTTTTGAATTTCTTCTTCAATACTCTTTCAAGAAGTACACAGTAAAACTGTATGGTACAGGGCTGACATTTGGCTTTGGGAGTCAGACGGATTTAGATTCCAATTTTGGCTCAACCATTAACGTAACTTCAGGCATCCTCTACGTTCCACTCTCTTCCTCTGTTTAACAGGGAGAGTAATACCTGCCCCTAGTTGTATCTGCAGCCGAAATGAGATAATACCCTGATGCATACCGCACAGAGCCAGGCACATAGTAATTACTCAATAAACAGTCATTATTTTACACATGCATGCACACTGAAAAATCTAGAAAATGACTTTAAAATATTCTTCATTCTATAACCCTAGTAACACAAACATGTACTCGCTTGTAATTTATATCCACATAAGATTTTATTTTTATATCATTATGGCTCAGTTGGTAAAGAATCTGTCTGCAATGCGGGAGACCTGGGTTCGATTCCTTGGGTGGGAAGATCCCCTGGAGAAGGGAAAGGCTAGCCACTCCAGTATCCTGGCCTGGAGAATTCCATGGACTGTATAGTCCATGGGGTCGCAAAGAGTGGGACACAACTGAGTGACTTTCACACATACACATAATTGTAATATATAATTTTCTAATTTTTCACATTATAATCACTTTTTCATGTTATCATGCAGGATTCATAACTACTGAATGAGATTCCATTAAGTAAACCTCTATAATTTAACCCCTAAATTTCTACCAAATATTTGAGGGGTTTTCATGTTACAAATAACACTACAATAACATTTGCATAAATGCAGCTTCTTCATTCTGTGGGACTCTATCCTTAGGATGAATTCTCAAAGCAGGCTTTCTACAGTAACCATAAACTCTTTTATGGCTTAGATTTGCATGGTTTTCTACAAGTTCATACAATTTCTAGTGCCTTTGTCAATAGAAACATCATCATGCCTTATCAAATCTTCAGTTTTAATAATATTAAATGTATTGAATATTTACCACGTACTAGTACCACCTATCTCATCAATCTCACAACAAATGTGGAAGTAGTACAACCTTTCTTACAGATGAGGAAGTTAAGTTTCAGACAGTTTAAAAGCCATGTCCAAGGTCACACAGCAACTAAAGACTGGAACTTGGACTCAAACTCAGATCTAGCTAAGGCCATAGTGCTCTTAACCACTCGGTTTTTTTTCTGCTTTACTTTCACTGATGTTTTATTATGCAGTTCTTTGATTACTAGCAAAGTTTTCACTTTTACATGTTTCAAACTATTATTCTCTTATTGTGTTATCTGCATATTATTTAGCAACTTCTGTAAAGTGGTGGGAGCAACTTTGTTCACTGTATATTTTTTACCAATCAAGTGTTACCGGCACAACCTTCACACAAGAGGCCCAGGTCCCTTGTTGATGGCCTTACTGAACTCAATTCATAAGAAAAGGTATTCCTTCTCTTTCTCCTTCTTCCTGCCAATTTTGGGCTAAATACAAATATATTCTAGAAAGCTACCAGGCCCACATCTTTTCAACATTATTCATTCATACAACATGGCTCTTGGTTACCTTGGAACACCCTACCATAAGTGAGAGTGAAGACCCAATGTCCCCTGGGGAGTAACAAGCTCTAATAATTTTGTAACAGAACCAATTTACCAAGGTCTTTGAATCAATCAATATCTCATTCTCCCCATGTCCCCCTGCTTCCCACTCTGTCTTCAAATGTCTCTTTTGCTAACTAAGATAAAGACTGACATGTACAGGGTTGTTTTTTTTTTTTATGAATTTGTGATTCAAACAATTTGGCCTTCATTCAAAACTTATCTGCCATAATGTATAGACACATCATTAAGACCTCATATCTATGGTTTACTAGTAAGCAAAACCAGGTTTACCTTATTAATGTAAACTTTAATAACCCTATTTTATAATAAGGGCCATTACCTGCATTATGTCTTGCAATACAGCCAAGTGCCCAGGCTGCAGCCTCTTTGACTCCAGGGTCAAAATCTTCCAAGCAAATCACCAGTGTGTCCAGTGCTCCACAATCAACTACTGCCTGAGCTAGTTGGGGAGAATGTTTACCAACCGCTCGTAACACAAAGGCAGCTGCTTTCTTATAAAAACGCTACAAGGATAAATAGACAAAACTCAGTGTGAATCAAGCTAAAAGTTAAAATTGACCAAAACAAACATAAAAAATGACACTGATATTAAAAAAAAAAAAAAGCTCGGCAGTTTTTAAATACAAAAGATGAAAAACATTCTGCAAAATCATTTTGATTTTTTGAGGCTTCCCCATTGCTTTTGTTCAGTAACTGAACTGAAATGGTGTACATCTTTAATTTCATTTCAAATGCTTTACTCTGAAACATGCATTTGGAAACTGCATAAAATAAAATGTAAGCATTATATTTCCTACAGATTCATAAAATAATGGGAGTTTATGTTTGTGCATTACAGTGAAAGGTATTGTTTGTCCTGTGGGAACTCCTAGATTGTTAGCACATGCAACTAAACTGTCACCTGACAAATTCATTTCCTTTACTTGCCCTCAGTCTCTAAGCATGACCTCAACTAACCTTTCTGGTGTCCCGTGTTATCCTGAAATAACAACTATGCTCTGAGGTGCACTTAGCAATCATCAGATAAAGTTTCTATTTCTTCACAGTGTAAATGAAAAAAGCAACTAGGTGACTACCACAACTGTTTTGAAAGCATTCTATTTACATAGGCTAAAATATTAAAAATCAATAAACAGTTATATGAGAGAGAAAATACAAAAGGTATATTTTAACAGATTATATCTTAAAAATTAGGATATGTTGAAAAGATAAGGAATATACTGTTAGTAATGTTTTTATTTGATATATTTCTTTAGCTTAAGTGTCAACATATATAGACATTAAAATATTATAAAAAAATAAAAAATAAAATATTTGTTATAAAGTCTAATTTTATAAGTCCATAACCAAATACTACTAAATCATTACAAAAATTAGAATAAAGCTTTAACGTAGGTTTCCATAGATTATTTTCTCATGATTGGGGAAAAATAATAGTGATACATTTCTTGTCATTACTGTAAGCTGATTTGAATGTATACTGCAGAATTTTCAAATTCACACTTTACTGAGCACCAACAGTTAGTGTTAACTAGGTGCCTAGAATTCACACTTTCCTGTTTCATTCCCCCTCCCTCTTAAGTTCTGCTTCTCCAAATCCGTAACTCTCTTCTCTCCTGGAATGCCTCACCAAAAGAACTGCCAGAAAAGAAAAGAAGAGAAAGAAGAAAGGATGGAAGGGAGGAACGAAAGAAAACCTGGAAGGAAAAGGGAGGGAAAACCAAACCAGAGGACTTTGTATGCCCAGAGAAGAGATTAAATCTCATGTGAGAAATGGGTTAAAGGCCTGGAAGGGGAGGGAGACAGAAGCCTGTGAAGATGCTTCCCATTCTCACTTTGTCCTCACATGTGCCCTGTTGCTTTAACTAATGGGCACTCATTCACACTTAGAAAACCTTAAGAGAACCTTCTATGTGAGATATCAAACACAAACCTTGCCCTCAGAGAAGGAGCTAAGAGTCCAAGCATTTGATGACAGAAAGAACGCCTACAAGAAAAATACAATTTTTGTAACTCCTCCTAGAGATAAAAGTCATTAGCAATTGACTCTCCAATCTTTTAAAAAAAAAAAAAGGCACATTTTAAAGCAATTAGAATTTTATTTCATTTTGTAAAAAAAAAAAATTGGCCATTTTAAAGTGTACAATTCAGTGACATTTAGTGCATTCACAATGTTGTGCAACCATACCTATCCAGTTCCAGAATATTTTCATTACTCCAACAAGAAATCCCCTACATTAAGTAGCCACTTCTCACTCCCCTCTTCCCCCAGCTCCTGGCAATCATTAATCTGTGTCCATCTCTATGAATTTGCATTTTCTGGATACTTCATATAAATGGAATCATACAATATGTAGCCTTGTCTGGCTTCTTCCTCTTAATATAACTTTTTCAAGGTTCATCCATGTTATAGAATGTACCAGTACTTCACCCCTTTTTATGACTGATAATACTCCATTGTATGGATATATAACATTTACTTTATCTAGTCATTCTTTTGGCTATTGCAAATAATGCTGCTATGAACATTTGTGTTCAAGTTTTGCTTGAACACCTGTTTTCAATTTCTTTGGAAATATAACCAGGAGTAGAACTGCTGGGTCATACAGTAATTATGTTTAACTTACTGAGGAACTGCCAACTTGTTTTCCATAGCAGCTGTGCCACTGTACACAACTTCTCCACATCTTCAATAACACTTGCTATTTTCCTTTTTTCTCTTTCTTTTATTTGTTATGGCCATCCTGGTAGGTACAATATTGGCTCTTCACAGTTTTGATTTTCATCTCCTAGTGACTAATGCCATTGAGTACTTTTTCATCTTGGCCCTCTTAGTACATTTTCTTTGGATAAATGTCTGTGTGAGTCTTTTGCCCATTTTTTAATTGAATTGTCTGTCCTCTGGTTATACATGGGTAAGAAAGATAATGTAATCTTAAAGACATGTCAAGAAAGATATATCCCTAGGTTATGATAAATCAGTAGGATGGAACAAACAGGAAAAGACCCTACCTAAAGGAAGATCCTTAACTATTGTTAGGAACATAAAGGGAACCAGACAGGATGGGAAAAAAATGGAAGCACTCTTAGATGACCCTTAGAAGGCCTGACATGCTTGCATACTTGGCAAAAAATGCTTTGTCAAACCTTCCCTTACATGCATTCTCCTTGTTTTCAAATGCTTCTCTTCCCCCTTGCTTCAAAGCTCTCTCTTCCATTGCCCATTAACTAGATTCAGACGGTAAAGAATCTGCCTGCAATCCAGGAGACCTGGTTTCAATCCCTGGGTCGGGAAGATCCCCAAGAGGAGGAAATGGCAACCCACTCCAGTATTCTTGCCTAGAGAATCCCATGGACAGAGAAGCCTGGCAGGCTATAGTCCATGAGGTCGCAAAGAGTTGGACTGAGCGAATAACACAACACTACTGTATGTAACTTATTTGTCCAGGGTGCCATACATCTTTCAAAGACTGATCCTATAACTTGAATAAGACCATATATAGAAGCACTGCTGTGTGTATAATTCCATTAAAAACTTTAATATGTTTTCTCCTATACCAACAGTAATGCAGAAAAGCTATTACCCTCAAAGTAAAATACCCTCAAGGTATTATTATGTGTAGTTCAAAGAATTGAAGGTTGTATTAATATCCTAAAAATTCTATGCCTGCACACTTGCAATTGTACCCAAACTATCAATTTTTTTAAAATCCAAAACAAAATCATATAACTTTGGTTTTAAAAAATTCTTACATTCTGTTCTGCCAGTGAATAAACAAGCTGTGGAAGAATGTCACCCTTCACGACTGCTTCTGCCAGGTCATCCTTATAATTAGCCAGTCTCCCCAGAGCCAGAGCAGCAGTCTGCTGAATTGTTGGGACCACATCCAGAAGAAGAGGCCTCAGCAAAGCCATTACGCCTAAGTTACAAGAAATAAGAAATTAGCAAATTTTAAATTAAAAAGCAAACATACCATTCAGCATAGATGCAGATAGGAAAATGCAAAGGGAAATATCATTAAAAACAAACAAACAAAAACCATCCACTAAAAACTAATACAATATTAAGCAGCAGCCAACTGGACAAGGCATAGAATAATATAACCTGCAATTATCAAAGCAGCAGCCTAGCATGGAACTAAGAACGGCTTTGGAGAACCAGAGTTTAAATCCCTGATTTGGCAAACTCTAGCTGTGTGATGTCACGAGGAATGCAGAGAGAAGCTGTAACGCACACAGTAGAAAGCCCACCTAGCAGGGTTATGGGGGTGGGGGTGGGGGTGGGGGTGGGAGGGAAGGTACTGAGAAGCTGTGCTCCCCCGCCCTTAACCCCACGTGCCCCCGCCCCCCCAACAGCCTTTGCAAACCCTATCTCTTTCAGGGATCAGTTCAGTTCTTTCCTCTCAAGTCTTCTGGTGGTTTTTTTTCTCTGATCCCAACCGACTTAGAGTCTATTACAGAAATTTTATGAGGATCTATTTCAGGGCCAGGTGAGTTAGAAAGGCCATTGGACTAGGGCTTCCCATTCATAAAGGGCTATAAATTCAGATTTCTGACATTGTCTCTGAATAAATAAATTCTTTAAGATAAGGAAGTATGTCACATTACTAGCTCTCATTAATATTCATTCTAGGGTTGAATACATAGTAGGAATACCATCATCACAGCACAATAATAAAAGTAGCTTATATATTATTTTGTGTTTAAAAACTTCTTTTCTATATCAATTTACTGAATTCTCATAACAAATCTATGAAGTAGGTCCTATTATCGTATCTGTTTTACAGATGTGGACATGAAGGCTGAGAAAAATTAGGGAAATTACACAGCTAAAATTCAGGAGCAAGGTTAGAAATTCAGACATTCTTTATTCATACTTACTAAATAATACATAAAACTGGATGGAAATAATATGGAAAATTGAGGAGGTGGGGTAAATTATTTCACTTGGATCATTTTATTCAATATTCCAACTCTACATTAACTCTGCTGTGCTGTGTGCTCAGTTGTGTCCAACTCTTTGTGACCCCATGGACTGTAGACCTCCAGGTTCCTCGGTCCATGGAATTTTCCAGGCAAGAATACCAGAATGGGTTGCCATTTCCTACTCCAGGGGATCTTCTTTAGCATGGGCAGGCAGATTCTTTACCACTGTGCCATCTTGGAAGCAACCCCTTAATAAAGGTGTTTTATAATACTACCAAAAAAAGGTGATGACAGAGTTCAAACTAGAACAAAGTGCCCCTTAACTTTTAAATGAAATTTACAGTGGGCTGTTCAACTTGCATGTTATGACATCTTTTGTTAAAAAATACCCCTGTGTCTTATAAAAGCAGATACATATTACCAATATTCTTTTGTAATGTTATATCCAGAAACACGTGAAACAGAAATAAAAGGAAAACACAACATTTAGAATTAGACCAAAATAAGATAAACAGTACTATCAAATAACATAAACAGAGAATAAGGATGCTTATCATAGAAACATTTAATGATGTGACCTGTAGCTTTTCTTGGTTCCCAGTTTTCTTCAGTGATCCTTTTTCTGTCTAATTTGACTTGGTTAGATCCTTTTACAGAAGGCCACTGTTGCAAGTTTGCATCCTGCTCAGGCTGGTTAACTTTGCAGGCACACAGCCCCCCTTTCTCTGGCCTAGCCCACAGCTCATGTTAAACAATTCAGCACATCCATGTGCATAAGTGTTGCTTACATTATTCTCTACACTTTCTACAGAGATAATTTCTGAAGTATCTCACAACAAACAGTTCAATGTGCAAAATAAGGTATTAGAATGACTACCAAATATTAACATGGTTCCTTCTAGAAAGCTGGATCTAAAACCATTTGTTGATCTCTTCTTTGTGGTTGCTTATTACTTAAATTTTTTAATAGTGGTAAAATATACATAACATTTTAAGCATTTTCTGGTGTACAAATCAGTGGCATGAGACCCATTTACAATGGTGTGTAATCATCACCAGTATCTAGGAACCGTTAAACCACTTTCCACTACACTGAGGCTACATCACTTTAAACTCCCACCAGCAAAGTACAAGGGTTTAAATTTCTCCCCATCCTCACCAATGCTTGCATTTTATTTTTTTTAGAATAACCCATCCTAGTAGGTATGAACTGGTATCTCCTTGTGGATGCAATTTTATTTCCCTCTCACTAATGATGGTGAATATATTTATTGAACATTTGTGTATCTTCTTTGTTGAAATGCCTATTTAAGTCCTTTGCCCATTTTTTTAATTGAGTTGGGGTTTTTTGTTGTTTTGCTCTTGAGTATAACTTGATTTTTTTATAATGAACATGTACCATTTTAAGTAAAACAGGTCAATACTCTAAAAAAGAAAAGCTAAATTTCTTAAGATATATTTAAAGTTTTGTAATAAATACATTAATGAGACAAAAAATATAAAATGAAAATATGCTTAGAATAGTTTTAAAAGAATCATAAACTTGTTTTATGTTATTTTTTCCTGATGATTCTGATATTCCCTTTTTTCCTAACTTGATAGAACTGTCTTTTGAAATATAAATAGAAAATTAATCCATACTGAGTTATTAACCTAAAATTTTTAATTAAATCTCAAAAACTCTGAAAGTTCTATTAGAAAGTTCTATTAGAACTTTCATAAAAAGTATTGGGAGAAATTATAGAATAGCCTCAATCAACCTTTCCCTTATTTCCTTTTAATACAACGTATACCTATCACTTGAATTTTGCAGGCCAATTGCATATATAAGCCAGAGGAAAAAAGGTCAAACATTTCTAAAAACAAAATTTTATTCTCATATTACATGTGTGTAATTTATATACCGAACTTTATCAAAATTTTATTAAATTCATGTTATGAATTTGAAGAATGAATTCATCTATCTGAGTTTACACTTCTTATGCTTCCCAGGTAGCTCAGCGGGGAAAGAATCCGTCTGCAATGCATGAGATCCCGGTTCAATCCCTGGATTGGGAAGATCCCCTGGAGGAGGGCATGGCAACCCACTCCTGTATTTTGCCTGGAGAATCCCCATGGACAGAGAAGCCTGGTGGGCTACAGTCCATGGGGTCACAAAGAGTTGTACATGACTGAGCGACTAAGCACAATAAGCACAATTACATTTTTATTATTAGCTACTATATTTAGCTAGTATACCACAAGTCTCCCAGTGTTGGCTATCTTCAGTTTCCCGTTTTAGCAATAAGATGTTCCACCCCCATTTCACTTGTCTACATATTCAAAGGAATTTTGCTGCTTTATATATTTTCTTCTACCTTTTTCTACTTCATTTGGCCCAGCAAAAATCAGGTCAATAAAATGACACACAATTCCTTTCGTTTCTACTCTTATATTCAGTATCAAAGTTAGGCTTTCCTACAGATGCTCTGTCATATGCCCTTGTTCAGACAATGAGAATTTTGAAAAATTTGTTAAAGCTAAAGTTTCCATTTAAAATATCTGAATAAGGTCATTTTCACTAGAGAAAATATTGCCCCAAATTTCTAGTCTTTGAATTGCCTCTTAGTGCTTCATAGTCTTCAGTTCCCAGGACCATGTTTTTATCTCCTACACAGGCTAAGCATACTTTGTTATTTTAATTTCAGGTTTGTCCTAAAAATACAGATAATGCTGCAAGAGGAACTGAGGAAAGAAGGAAGGGAGGGAGGGAGGGGAGGAGGAAGGAGAGGAGCACAAATAACATAAAACAAATTTCCTCACCTGTCTGTCCATTAGGAATCCATGGTGTTTGATCCTTGGTAAGTGAATGCATGAAAATATAGAGTCCACAGGTTACAGCAGTCTGAATAACTGCTATAATATCTAATAAGATAAGGTCCTCAGTGAGCAGCTAATGAACTCACTGGGGTCTCCACTGAAGGAACCAACAAGTACTACCTAATATTGTATCTCACAGTAAAAGTAATTCACATATTATACTCTGATATCTATAAGACAGTTTTGTCTTCCCTATATAAATTCATTAAATGGTGTGAAAATGTTTATGAAATTTAACCTATAGGCTAAATCTTTACAATCTTCCCCACCCCCAACTTTATAGCTTTGAGTTTCTTTTCTGTGTTTGTTGTTTCAGTGCCATACTGGAGGCACTGCTTCTATTAATAATACTTACATTGTTATCTAGTTTTACAAAAATAAAAACCTCATGGATCCTGCCCACTATTATTCATTCAAAAAATAGATCAAGGCTTACCAAGTGGCAAGAAATAGGGACCTCACACATGAGTAAAGGCAGCTCATGCTCTCCAAAAAGTATTGGAAGAAATGATAGAATAGCCTCAACCAACCTTTCTCTAATTCCTTTTAATACAACATAGGCCTATCACTTGAATTTTGCAGGCCAATTGCATATATAAGCCGGGGGGAAAAGGTCAAACATTTCTAAAGACAAAAAAATAACTCAGTCTCATATAACATGTGTATAATTTCTATACATATTACTTCAATTTGAGGTGCTTTATAAAGATATTTAACATCTCAACTTTTTTCTACTGAAAGCAAGTCTCTGCAAACCAGGCCTTTGGGTTCACTGAAGTCACAGTAAAGATTTCTGGCTGCCCTGGTGACTTATCTTGTTTTCTCTTTTTTAAATTGTAGTAAAATATACCTAACATTAAATTGACCATTTTAACCACTTTAAGTGCACAATTCAGTGGTATTAAGTACAGTTATAATGTTGTAGCACCATCACCACTATCATCATTCACCAGAACCTATTCATCATTCCTAACAGACACTGTATACCAATTAAACCATAAACCCCATATCCACCACTCTCAGCCTGCGGTAGTTTCTACTCTATTTTCTGTATCCATGAATTTGCCTATTTTAGATACTTCATATAAATGGAATCATACAATATTGTCCTTTTTTGTCTGGCTTCTTTCACTTA